ACCACCACTACCACAACCACTACGACGACGATGACACAAACACACAGATATTTCAATGTAAAAAGTGTGTTATAGCGGTTTTTGTAGTAGTATGTTAATAGATCGTGGTATGTTGTAGCAATGTAGTATGCTATAGCGTATTTCGGAGTATTGCGCACATTGCACAGTTTGTTGTGATATGTGGCTATCATAGTTTTTATAAGTATATTCAGATCATCTGTGGCATAGACATAGTATTTTATCGTGTATTATTATAACTGTCTTTGGTCCCGTGTCCAGTCCAGCGCCGTCTTGCCTCAAGAGTTTGCATAGCCCTGCAGCACCATGTCAGCAGCATTCGTGGTCGTGCTGTTGTTCCTGCCGGCCACTGCTTCAAGTACGACAACCAGGATGTGTCTTTGGACTATGGCTCCTTGCTGCAACATCATCACCAACCCCGGTATCTTCGTGGTACCTACGCCGGTGAGCTGAAGCACGTCTTCGTTATGAGTGAGGAAGGACCCTCGGAGCGGCGTTATGTTCGCATTCGTTCCCTTGCTCAGGGTGAGCTCATCACTGTGGGTTCACGCTTCAGGGCCGCCAGGTCTAGTGCACTATGTGTTTAAGGTTGCACTATATTATATCACGTTATATTATATCTATTATGTTATGCACTGTATTACATTTCTTATGTTGCATATTATGACATAATATTATGTTACCATCATGGTGTATTATACATATTTCTAAGACTACCTATTTTATGCTTTTCTATTTTTCATATGCTATGTACGAAATTCTACTATATGTTTTGCTACATATTTATATTGCATAGTATAACGTATATTCTGATATATCATAGCAACTACAATATTACATATCATATATGATAGATGGTATTATAGATTCTGCCTTGTTGGATAGTACATACACTTGGTAGCCCGGTGGCTGGTCGAAGTCGGTCGTGTATGCGACGCAGGTGAGGCGTTTTCAGTATGTAGGGTCAAGGTTGGTGGAATGGCTTGCACTTTTCATGTGGACTCGCAGCTGGAGTTTTCCAGTTGATTTCGAGGTTTCGTCCGTTGAACTCTGGTTCTCCGCGGTCTGAGCCTCGCATGTGTTGCAGTGCGACACTGCTGGGCCTGTTGATGTTCTGGCGAAGCGCTTCGTTCCCTGTGCAGGAAAGGTCATCGTCGATGGCAACACGACTGCCTGCAAAGCTCACTATCCCTTGCTAGCGGATGGTTACGCAGTGGCACAGATTCACTACGACACTATGAACTTTGAGGGCGATGTGCGCTACTTCTTGATGTCCCGCGAGGTGGCCATCGGTTAAATTTAACCGCTGCGCGGTTAGGAAAGCACTGTAAACACCGATGCGAAACCCGAATCGCAGACTTTTTGTTCAAACTGCACAGTGCAAAACTTCGAGTAACAACAGCGAGCATGTCTCTGAACAGGCGCTGCGCGAGCCTCAACAACCCTGCGCCACTGACTTTGCCTTCCCTTGCACACACGCACGCACACCCACCATCCAAGCCGAATCACACCTCCCCTCCCAAAACCCTACCTGCATGCCCACCCCACCTACCTGCCTCCCTGCAGATCTCCCTGCCTGCAAGCCGACTCCTGACCTCGAGGAAGGGGTGTCTTTCCGCAGCAGAACAACAGCACGAGCAGCGGCAACAACAACAACAACAAGAACAACAACCCACAGCAGCAACAACAGCAACCAACCGACGGACCACTCGAGCAACCATCGAGCCGACTAAACCCCACCCTAAAGCCTGTGGGAAAAAGTCTCAGCCACCCCAGGACCCCCGAAAGTTCGAAATGAACCCAAACTCCCTGGGCGCCGTGAGCTTGTAGAGCGGCTTTGGGGTTCATATTTTGTTTTGGTGGGAGGGGGGTGCGGGGGGGGTTGATGGGGGACTCAATTTTTCAGAATTTTCCAGAGCTCAGCCGAGGTGAGAGATGGGGTGAATATTAAATCTAAACACCGAAGCCGCGGCGGATGTTCGTAAGGTTCGGCAGTGCAGACCCAAGGTGAAATTGCACCCGCTCGGAATTGACGGCGACTACTCGTTCATGGGAGGAGCCCAGGACGTCGCGGCGCTCGGAGATCGGGGCATCAGGCAAGGGGAGTCGAACAATAGAGAGAGGCATAGCACATAGCACATCGTTGACACCTAAACCCCGAAACCCCCAAACCCCTACCTACATAAACCCCAACCACAACCCCCAAAGCCGAATCTGCTGTCAACCACGGCAAATTGTCTGAAATGTCGCTCAGGCGCATGGGTTTCGGCTTTCCGGACTCAAAAGACCTCACTCGCTGAGTCACTGGGCTCTTGTTAAGGGACTTGAACTAAATTACCATAATAAGGAAACCAAAATATTTACTATAGATCCCTATTATGGTACATTAAAATAACTTCACTAACAAGAACCCAGGTGACCTGGACGCTTTGCGACGCTGACTTCTTCGGCTGCAAACAACAGTGCCTGTTCCTAGGTAGGCCTCTGGGACATTTTTTAGTTTTCACGTATTGGGCTTAAGAGGATCTTACTTACGAGTATTTTTCAGAGGCTGTAAACCGGCCAACCTAGGTTCACCAATGCTGACGATTTGCCCACTCTGAAGCCCCTGATTGCAGCAGAGAAGGCCAAAGCAGGCCAGTGAGGCTGGGTAGTCATACATGGTTAGTCACATTTCGCCGTTCTGGCTGGAACGTATGTCCATCTGCATCATGCAGGCTGGTTTGGAGGTTGTTGGGTCCTGCGGCATGTGCTGTACGCCCTTGTTTTTCGCCTCCAAAGTTGCTCGCAACACTGCGGGACCTTCTCGATGTCATCCTGCTCGTAATGTGAGCTCGTGATTAGTAAT